CCATCAGTGCCAAATAGAGGAGTTTACAGAGAGCTCTGCTGCTGTTGTAAAGTGTGGTATCAGCTAGGGAGGGAGTAGTAGAGGCGGCTGAGAGGCATATGGAGTGTTCAGCGGTGTGAGTTGGAATACCAGCTGCTGTGTGTGTGCAATGTCAGCACCAAGTGTTTTGCGGCTGCCACCTCAGATAAAGCACTCACACTCGGTGATGTTTGCAAGTGCTGTTTATTTAGAGCTGCAGTTGGTGCCAAGGGTGTTTTAGCCGGTGCCGATAAAGAGGCTTTGTCCCGGTAGGTTCCTTAGCTGAGGCGCCTACTGCATGCTTGGGGTCACAGTTTCTCTCATTACCAGCCCCACTTGTAGGCTGCTTGTCCAACCTTTTTCTGCTGGAGGGTGGGGGGGGTAAAGCATTTTTTTGGAGAGGGTGCTTCCTCAGGGGAGAGTCCATCCCCAAGGAAGAACAGAACTTTCTTCAGGTGACTATTATCCCCATCCTTTAGGTTCAACCTGATGGGAGCCTCTCTCTCCGTCCCAGGTCATTTCTGTCTGGGAGGAGTAGATTGCTCAGGGTCAGAAGCCAATCGAGCCTTTTTCTCTAGCTGGAGCATTTTTAGTTGTAATTCTCTCGCTGTTCTGGAGCAGGCTGTCACTTTCTGACAACGAGTACAGTGCTTTGTGGGGTACTATTCCCCAAAGCAGCAGACGCATGGTTTGTGTCCAGCTGAGACTAAAATGGATAGCCTGCACCCCATACACTTTTTTCCCCACATCTTAGGCAGCAGTGCAGTTTTCATGGAACTGGTGTATTCACTCAACAGCTTGTCTACAGGAGGTTTTTGTTTTGTTCTTAAACTATTGTAAGAGAAAATTTAACAAGTATTGAATAGGAAGGATTTCTGAGGTAAGACCTATCTAAAAAAGTGGGTAATTATGTAACTTGTCAATGAGGTAAAGGGTGACTGTTGAGCTATGACCAAAGCCAGCAGCAGCTGGGAAGGAACTGAGGAGGCTGCTGGCTGCGCATGTGCAGTAGCCTCTTCAGAACATATGCTGGCACTCCACACACATGGCTGGTCATGTGCACTGCTGTCACAAATCTCCAATCAGAGGTGCAATGGCACTGACACACCTAAAGGTAGAGCACCCATGGAAACATTCCTCATAGAACTATATATTTGCTCTATCTTCTCTTCATGTAGGGCATGGTCTAGTCAAAACAAAGACTCTTTCCTCAAGGAAGAGAATTGTACAAACTAACTGTTACTAGTGAATCATAAAACAGTACAGGATAGTAAGTAGGAGGGACTTAAAGTCCCAGTTAATTGGTTAAAACTCCTGTTTAACCAGTTAACTGATTAAGCACAGGACTGCTCCAGCCCATGCTCCCCCCATGGGGGCTGTCATTACCCAGGCTATGCAGGGCTGCCGCTGTCTGCTCTTGCTCCCTACCCTGGACAGGGATACCAGCAGCAGGCTGCCCTTCCCAAGACTGGAACAGCACTGTGCCTGCAATGGGCTTCTCTCAGATAACCTTATTAACTGCTCTGCTTACTGGATACCGGTTACCCGTTCACATCCCCATTAGTAAGAGGTGGGATTTTTTTCCCCCCTCCCACTTCAAACTGCTGCATTCACTGCCCTAGTGTGATTAAAAACAATCCTCTGTGTGTGTGTGTGTGAGGGGGGGGGTGTTAATGCAAGGATTTGAATACTTTGATAATCATTGGACTGGAAAGGACCTTGAAAGGTCCTCACATCCCACCGCCTGTTCTGAGGCAAGAAGTAAACCTAGGCCATCCCTGAAAGGTGTCTTAAGTTTAAGTTGGACAAACTCACCCATAATGGGAATTCCAGTATCACTCTCAGACATCACTTCAAGACCTTAAGTACCCTTATAGGTAGCCTTTGGTTCCTCAATAGGAAACCCTTTCTGTGTCTACACTATGCACTGTGTAGCTACTTTTTATCTCTCCCCTTCTGAGAAAATAAAGCCATGGCACTTTGGTAGAACTCTACCCCACCCCACCCCAAGTTTTATTAGTGAAAATGCAGTGTAGACATAGCATAAGCATTTGTTTGAGATTAAAAGCCCACTACTGGTCCCATCTTCAGTGGACATGAATAATTACAGTCCTCATAATGGCCTCAAGCATCTCTGAAGTTCTCAATAAGAAATATGGCCTTTTTTTTCCTTCCAGTTTTGCAAACTCTGTTGCTCCCCTCTGGACTCCCTCCCATTTGTCCATGTTTCCTAAAGTATGGCACCAAGAATTGGACACAGTTCTCCAATACTGAGCAGAGGGCTAGTTATCTCCTGTCTTGCATATGAGATTGCCTGTTAACTTTTTTTTTTTCACTCCCAGGGAATATATTATTTTTGTAACTGCACCATCTTGTTTGAGTTAGTGATTCACTAGAACCACCAGCTCCTTTTCAGTAGTACTGCCACCTAGCTACTGCTTCCATTTTGTTGTACATTTGATTTTTTTCCTTTCCAAGTATAGTACTTTAAAGTCAGTAAAGACAAGTGTAATCTTGTCTTCAGACCCCATTCTGTCTTTAATTCTAATCTTGTGCTCCAAAATGCTTGCAACTAAGGATGTTAAGGACTAGTGTATCCCATAAGCAAATACTTATTTGCTAGTTGAGTTGACTAGTCGATATCCCACTGCCCTTGCTGCCTCTATTAGAGGTAGCAAAAGCAGGGGGGCGAGGGGGAAGAAGGGGTACTTCAAAGCAGCAGGACCGCACAGCTGATCCAGGGCTCAGCTGTGCAGCACTGCCCCTTTAAAAAGCTGCCTTAAAATTTCAGAAGGGCTGAGCCTGGGGTCAGTTCTGTGCAGTGCTGCTTTGAAACACTACTACCACAGTGTTTGTGTGGAGCCTGGGGGTCAGCTGGGGAGTCCCTAATCCCAGGTTCTAGGGAAATTCCATGTGGAGCCTGGGACCAGCTGGGGAATCTCCAGCTGACCCCAGGCTCCATGTGGCATTTCAAAGCAGAAGTGCCCTCATGGAGCCCAGGGTCACCCCAGGCTCCATGAGGTGCTTCCACTTTGAAGTGTTCAAGAGGGGGCTCTTGTACATTTCAAAGCTGGCATACTTGCGTGCAGCTCAGAGTCAGTTGGACTTCCCACTGGCCCTGGGCTACATGTAGAGTTGTACGTTTCAAATGAGGAATGCAGAAGTGCCCATCAACTAGTAAGTTACATCCTTACTTGCAACCCATCTCAGTTGTGTTATCTGCAAATTTTGTAAGCACTCTTTCTTCCCTTATACCAGTCATTGTGAATGCAGGACTGATCTCCTGTCAGGTCTCACTAGAATCTGCCTCCCCAATTTAACAGCAAGCCTTCTGTAACTCTCCAACTATGGCCTTTCAAACAAGTTTTGCACTCACCTTACAGTAATGTCATCTAATTTACTTCTGAAAGGGTTATATGAGAGTGTCAAGAGCCTCAAGAGCTGTTATAGGAAGCTTTAGTAGGTCTTCTCTACACATGCCACTATTCAGTCATCTCCCTAAATTCACAATCCTGTTCCAGAGGTATACAGCATAGTATTTCCGCAAGAACACTGACAATCTTACATGAGATTGTCAGTCCTTTTGTGGAAATTCAATCGGCCGGTGTAGACAGTTGGCAAGTTTTTCCGGAAAAGCGGCTGATTTTCCCAAAAAACTGGCCAGTCTAGACACAGCCCATGGGTATGTCTAAACTACACCCCTCTGCTGACAGAAGGATGTAGATTAGGCACTTCGAAATTGCAAATGAGCCTGAGATTTAAATATCCCGGGCTTCATTCGCATACTCTCGTTTGGGCGCTGTGCTGATCACGCGTCCTTTTGAAAGTGAAAGTAAAGGAGGCGTACAGGATCTGCTGAAAAAGCTCCCCGCTGTTGGCAGAGCCACAGCTAGACTTTCCTTTCACTTCTGAAAGGGAGAGTGGCACAGTGTCCAAATGTGAGTAGGCAAATGCAGCCTGGGAGATTTAAATCCTGGGCTCGTTAGGCACTTTGAAAGTGCAAATCTACATCCCTCTGTCAGCAGAGGGATGCAGTCTGGAGGTAGCCATGGAGTGTTATTCACAAATAGCTGTTATCTTGATATGTAGACATACTCTCAGATGTCTATCACTAAGGTAGAGAGAAAGAACATGTTCCTCCCATATAACAAGTCAAAGACAGCCTTAGGGACACAGTGGCAAGACTCCTGCCATGCTGCTGAGTGGTTAAGATTTGCATTTTCCTATGAAATATAAGATGGAGTTTCATGCCCTATCTAGACACTGTGCCTACTTCCATAAGGAAGGCCAGGCACCACAGCTTGACAAAGTGCAGTGCCTGGTAGCTCTGGCTACGATGCTCTGCTAGATAGAATCTCTCTGCCTTTGCATAACCATGTAGACTGCTGAGGAGAGGGATGCCAAATTAAGGAAACTACCAAGCTTTGATTCCACATGAATAATTTTACTTGCATCAGATACTGATCCAGATCAACACTGGCAGAGAGCATTTAGCTTAATGAAGTCACCATGGCACTGGACAGAAGTGGTACAAGAGTATCTGCTAACCCTTATAGAAGTCCCCAGTAGATCAAAATAATGTGACGTACTCATAACATTGTGCAATTATTCTAGGCTAGAAAAGGGTGTTGTCATGTGTTAGCAGCCAGTAGTAGCTGCTCTTAAAATAGAAGTCCCAGTGTTGATTACATTCTTCCCTCCCCATCTTTCCAATAAAGCCTTCTTGGTGCCAGCTGCTATTGTGCATTTGCTTCAAGACCAAAAGATTCAGACACTCTGCTTAAATAGTACCAGCCAGGTATAATCTCCAGTTTACCTCTCCAAGAATAACCACCTCCACATCTTTGTTCATTCTAAGACAAGTACAACCATGACACCATAGGGGACGGACGGACGGACGGGCGGGCGCGCACACACACACACGATTTGTTACCCTGATAATAGTTACAGTCACCAGGATTCTCTATGAACAGAAGCTGAACTTTTTTCCTGGACATTTTTATTAAGAGCCTGTCCAGCTATTACATTGGATTTGTATATTATATAAGGCACATTTGAATAGCTGCATCAGCAAGGTTTTTTTTTTTTAAATAAATTACTGCTCTGTCTTCCTGTTCAGAACAAGAATATATCCATAAAGTGCATGGTGAAAAGTAGTTCTGTGAACAGCAGAATGAGAACAAGTTCAGTGCCACTTGCAGTTTCTTGGAGGAAACATCTTGATCAGAGCAGAGTCACCCCACAGATCGCCAATCCATGGTTCCATCAGGCTCTACAGTGACACCTGGATTCTGCAGGACTGCAACCAAAAAAATCAAAGAGGCTTAACATAAGGCCACTGGCAAGTCAAGTACCTAGGTACCTTACTGGAAAAGTACACATGATTATACAGCCACTAAACATTAAATAATTGGTTGTAGACCACACTGGCTCTTAGATTCCAGTAAAGCAGCAGCCAGCCATCTTAGTACCAAGAACAGACTTCTAGAAGCACAACTACTAGAAGAGTACCCAGAGTCAGTGCTTCTGGAGTGCTATCCAAAAAGCTACCTTTCACCTCTTCATTAAGAAATGCAACACTGATTCAAGGCAGCATATGCTTAGTTTTCTATTTATGATTTTCAGATGTATACTGTATAGGTTGCCCTGAAAAGATTAGATTCTAAAGAGCTCCTATAGCAGGCAAGTCTGAGAAATAACACTGACCCCTTTCTTCCAGTTTCCTGAAAGAAGCCATTACACATAGCCTGGAAGCACTAATTCTTCAACATGAGATTTGTTAAGTTAAGTACTGTAACTAAACAAGTGATTCCCATCCGTTCTCCTCACCACTAGCTATGAATATGGAAACTGGGCACACAAGAACCCTATTTTTTTAAACCAGGAATGTGCATTCTTTCTAGCGATGTAATAGTGTAGTCCTTTAACCAATTAACTGATAAGCAAAAGCTTACAAATTAATGCTATAGACTGCATGCATTTCCCCCCTTCCATCTTGTAAGGATGTTGCCTTACAAATTAATGCTATAGACTGCATGTATTTCCCCCCTTCCATCTTTTAAGGATGTTGCCCAGCAGCTTGGCCCAGTCCCGGCTTGCACCAAGTCTGGGACCTATCCCTGCTGTGGCTCTGCATTTAAAGCATATTAGGAGCCAGGCAGGCAGGCAGCCCAGCTCAGTTCCAGCTCACATTGGGTCTAGGAACTGTGGCCCTCTCCCCTTGGGCAGGGGCAGCTGCCTCCAGGAGTGGCCCTAGATGAGCTGCCGGCAACTGGCGCCCTAGGCAAAACGCACAATCAGTGTGCTATCGGCACCCCTGCCTCCAAAGCCCTCAACAGCTGTTTATCTTGATGCCCTAGGCAACCACCTAATTCGCCTGTATTGATGGGCCATCACTGCCTGCCACCCCATAAGGGGAGCTGTTTTTTAAACTGGCTCTCCTTGTTAACCAGCTCCCACCTGGCATCTCCTGCTGCTGCCTCTGATAGAGGCAGCAGCACAGAGTGGCAGGGGGGGGCGCCACATGGGGCAGAGCCCACTGGCTGCCAGCCTCACCCTCAGGGACTATAGAATATTTGAGTAACCAATAAGAATTCATGAGGTTACTCAACTATTCAATTAACTAATATTTAACATCCCTAATTTTTTTCAAGTAAAAAAACAGAGCAGGAGTTGGGGTGGAGGTGGGGAGAAGGAACATCCCTAATTTTTTTCAAGTAAAAAAAAACAAAAAAACACAGAGCAGGAGTTGGGCTGGAGGTGGGGAGAAGGAGAGAGAGACTTTATCCCCACTTACTTTGCAGGCTATATGTTGCCACTGGATCCAGCATTATTTTCTGAGGGAAGATAATTAAGTCCTGGGACCACTTGTTAGTGAATGGTAATAGTTCGCCATCTGAAGTACAAGCACTTGGAGCACTTTCTGGGTTGGCTTCATCTTCGGTCAGCTCACAAGTGCACAGGGGGCAGCTTGGGGGTGTAACACCAGGTCCTCTTGGAAATGAGTCCTTTTCATTCTTCAGGTAACTCCTCAGTGCTCCACTGTGATGAAGGAGTCGTTCACGTGACCAAGCCCAATGGGATGGTTCCTTTGACATTATCTAGACCAGAAGAGTATAGACAAGCCAATATTTTTTCCTTGCCACTGAATTTCTGGATGCACTTAGTTTTAAATTTCATTAAATAAAATTAAGCATGATTCTCAGATTTCATCCTTCTAGTGTGTAGAGCTGGGGTTGCCAGACTGTGGCTCATGAACCACATGCAACAATTGTACAGTTACCTCCTGCCACTCCATCTAGCAGACTGCAGGGGTGGGAGGATGCAGATATGGGGAGGGAGAAGAAAAGAGTTTAGGAGCTCTGCCTTGCAGCTGGATAGAGGAATAGGGAGGTAGGACTGGCAACTTCAGCCCTGTGAGCTGCATCTGCTGGGGCCTGAGGCTTCAAGCAGGAGCAAGGCTGAAACCCTGAGCCACCAGGAGCACCCTGGCTCTTGACTTTCTGAAAATTGTTGTATGTGGCTCTGAGGGTCAGTAAGTTTGGCCACCCAGGTATACGGCTTCAAAGACAGTAAAAACTACAACATCTGAACATTCTCCAACATATCAGATTTATTGAATTAAGAATGCTGTGATCATAATTAAAGCTAGAATAGCAGCTGCTTATTAATCTTTCCCAACAACATTAATTGAGGGTAAAGGCTGTGACTGTTCAATGGAATCCTAGCCAATGGTGATGCAAGAATCTGTAAACTTAAGTATGGATATTGTACTAAGTGCTGTATTGAACATTCTAGAGACTGAGACTTTAATTGCTGAGGAATAGCTAAACAAGTGAACCCACTACAATATTCCTGACCCTCCTGGCACACTAGCAGGGGCACTTACCCACCCTTGGTCAGTTCCAGCCTTAGCCCTTAATAGGAACTGGGTTTCTATAGACTACTGATTCTAGTGACTATTAACGTGTTAGCCATAGTCCCATGATTACAAGCATGCAAAAATATATCAGCCATGACTAACCTCATCACAACAACGCCGGCTGACCACTGCTCGATAATTCATTTTAGCCCAGAAACTATCCCTCATTTTCAAGAACTGTGGGAACAGCTGCCTCCAGTTGTCACCAAGAGCCCAGGGAAAGATCTCATACTTGTAATCCTCTTCATCTTCTTCCATATCATTAGCCAAGTACCTGCATCAGGAAAATGGGGCAAAACAGGCTAGGACCACTGAAAACAGTTAATGCTCAGAAGTACTCTACTTAGGAAGTTGTATAGTACAGCCTGGAATTGTTATAGTAGGTTTCAGAGTAGCAAGTGTTAAACCTTAACACTCCAACATTACATTGTATAAAAGGGGTGTTTGGTTGTTAAAAAACAAAACAAAACGAACAATACTGAGTTACAGCATAAGAGGCTTTTGGAAATCACATTTGCAAGTAAGGCCAATTGTGTTTAGGTCCAGGCAATATATTGTGGGTCTTTCCTATAGATGCATAGAATACAAGTGCATGATGTTGTAAACCAGTTCTCACACAGGACAGATATTGATTCTATTTCAATATTTTATTAGATAGGTATAATGTGCAAGTGAATGTGATTAGTTTGGAACTATATTGATGCTGTTTGCACCCTTAATAGGAATACTCTCATGACACCAACATAACTATACCACTCTGATAGTGTAAAGTATCCTTACAAGTGGGTCCATTGCCAGAACAGCTTTAAAGCAAGAATCGGGCCTCAAGTGTCTATGTAGTACATTCAGTTGCAGATGACATACCTAAAAACCTTAGTACTCAAAGGATTGAAGGGAGTTTATTCACAAGCTGTGAAAGATTTCTGCAACCCCTGGCTTCTCAAATGGTAATTGTTAAGATGAGGATGGGGAGAGAATGTGAGACTTGGACACTATTGTGCTAGGCATCGTACAAACAGAATGACACGCAACTTATCCACACAGAAAGAAGGACACAAGTACAATTTGGGATCCTTGCATCCAGCCCAAGGAATTAAAACTCAGAATCCCACAATTTCTGGTTTTACCATCATTAGCCTCTTGAAACGGTTAAAATATCTATAAGCCTCTATCCAATACTGAGATCTTATACTAGTATCAGGCACAGGGAAGGGCCAAATCCAGCTCAAACATTTCCCTTTGGCTCACTATGGCCTTCAGGGCTGCTAAAAGTCCTGCAGCACAGCATTCAGGTAGGCAGCCTGCTTGCCACAGCCCCTACTACGCTGCTCCCAGAAGCTGGCCCATGGGAGCTGCAGGAACAGTACTTGCGGGCATGGGCAACATATGGGAGACCTGCTGCCACTCTCCACCAACATGCACGCAGAAACATTTACCAGCAGCAGGATGTTTTGAGTGACATAGGGCATATCATGGCATGCTGGCACATGGTACCACTGCTGCCAGCCAGAAGCCACCTATGATAAGCACCTCCCAGCAGGGCAAGAACCTATACATAGCACCCTCTTCCACACTAATTCCCTGTCCCAGATCAGAATTCCCTTCTAGATCTAAACTCCCTCCCATCCCCAAATCCCCTGCCAGGAGCTCCCTCCTGCATCCAAATTCTGCCTCAGACCCTACAGCTCCTCCATTAACAGAACAGAAAAGCAAGGCCCTGTTGCAAAAGTTGTCCACTCTGTGTTAGAGGGAAATGCTTTGAAGTCTACTTACAAAAAAAAAAAAAAAAAAGTCAATGAAATTGTGTTTTCCCCAACTGGGGAACAATCATGGATGATTAGTATGGCATAGAGAATATTTTGAAATAGGTGCAGGGAGGTTTGAGCTGTGTATAACTTCAGATACCTCAGTTAGTATTGTGTACTCAGATACTGTTGAACTATATTCCTAACAGCCATTGTTCCTGCCAAAATATTTGATAGCATGGACCAGGTAAACCCATCTGATCTCCCCATTATGAGGAATATGAATTATTTATATGGTGGGATATTTAGACTGAAAAAAGGTTAAAAGCCATGAGGTACTTACAGAGCAGTGAAAAGGTTCATCCGTGTGTATTCACTAATATGCAAGCCAGCACGTTTGAAGTAAGTCAGAGTCATGGCTAGAAGATACTAAACAAGAATTAACTTTAATAGACTTTTTTCTTCTGATCCAGAACAGAGTTTAAAACAAAAGAAAGTGAACCATAGGGGTTGGGCAGAGTGAAGAACACAAACAGTTTTGTGGAGACTTGCTAATTACAGGATGTACCTCCCTGATCCCACACTCTGGGGACTGACTGGCTGGCTCCTCTGAACAAAGGAATCTGCTGGCCCAGAGGACATCAGACCCAGTTCCTCTACAGCAGAAGGGCTGGCATTGACCAAGTGGGAAATGGGGGGAGGAGTGTAGGGGTGGTGCAGGGGCACTCAAGGGATGAAGCAGAATAGCTGTGGAGTCCTGCAGCTGGGGGACATAAGCATGACCTGCCCTGCAGCCTCTGGGCTGCACTCCTGATCTCTGCCACCAGCTGCAGGGCTGTGCTCCTGCCCCCAGGGCTCCACAGCCACCCTGGCTCTTCCCAAGAACACCCTCCTCCCCCCACCAGTTCTCACTCCTCCCTGAGCTTGAGCACCACAAATTAAGTATCTGTGGTACAGTGTCATCCTTACCCATATGCAGATGCCTAGGGCACCTTGAAAATGTGGGGGCATCACTGGGTCTTAATGTCCACCCATCAATCTGTTCTATGGCTTCCCTTCCTCGGGAAAGATCTAGGGAAGTGAAAGCCTGCTAAACTTATTAGCAGAATATTGTGAAAAAGCCATTCAAGTCATAATGAAGCCATTTAACAGGCATTTACAAACCCCATGTATAAACAGTTTCTGAATTTTATTGTGTTAGTCTACAGGACCTTAGGTTTAAAGTTTGTTTTAAAAATATTTCCTTAGTGTGCTGAAGATTATTCACCCTCCCTAGCCCCAGATGCCATCAGCTTACTAGTACTGCATGGGGCCCCATAAATCATAAGGGCGACCCTGCTGTGGCACTCCAGCAGCTCTGGGAGGTCAGGAAAGAGTTGCTGAGCTTGGCTCCTCCCCCACTCTTCCACAGTGCTCCTTGGGGATGCCGGACCACAGATGTTGCCAGACAAAGTCTAGTCCACAGAGGTTGAACCTCTATTTGTATCCTCATAGCCCTTAGGAGCCCCATTCAGGGACTAAGACTCCATTATGCTAGGCCCGGTGTAGAAGGTCAGCATGATAAACAGTGTGTGACTGTTTGTATATTTTGGCAAGCTTTATGACAGAGTTTTAAGGAGGGATTTGAAGGTGGATAGAGTTAGCTCTGCAGGCATTTACATTGAACTTCTCCCAACCATAATGGGTAGAATGAGAAAGTATGACAGCTTAAAACTGTAGTTCATTTTAATGCAACATCTATAGAATCCCAAGATCCTTCAGAGTGACTGACATAAGCAGTCAAACTGAAGATCTTTTCTAAGCAGTACTTAATTTGTTCCAGGGCTGAGACCCAACACCTTGAGGGTGGCTTGGCAGTTTATACCGCAGCACTTCTGAACGTGCTGCATCAGTTACAAATGTAAAACATTGCTTGAGCCCTGACACCTCTTTCTTACAAATTAAGCACTGGTTCTAAGCTCATTACCACTCCCTACAGTTTTCCCAAGGACTAAAGCCTCATGCTTTGTCTCCATCTAGATGGGGATTTATGGAAAGCTGAAAAATGGCATCATTTGATTTCTGTATGCAAAAAACAGCCTTAAATGGAAACAAGGTCCTGGCCTTTGTGCTAAAGTTTGGTTTATAAGTCAGAGTTACTGCATAAGAGTTAAAGTTAGAGTAATAAAAGAGTACTGGGTATTGCTATTTAAACGTTGTTATAGGAAAGTTAACCATACCTTATCTGAAATCTTGTAGCATATGTCCATAGACAAGAACTCTTGTACCAAGTCATCCTCTGGTTAAGGGGAAAAAAGTAAGGAAGCTACATTGGTTGTTTCATATTGTTCAAATAGCAGCTTACACAACTATAGCATTCCCAGACTGGAGTATGGATTTCCAAATTATTCTATTTCTAACAGAATTTTAAATTATTTGAATGTATGACACTTCGTTCAAGGTTCTCAGAGCACTTTACAACAGTGGAATCATCCAGCGCTTACAGGGAATTAAATTTTTTTCCCCCCACCCTTCAGAAACCCTTATTTCCTTATTCCCCATCCTGCATGCTAAACACAGCAAACATTCCCCTTTTGCAAGCAGTTATCAACTTGCACACTAAAATCAACTTGAATCCTCCAAATAATTTAAAATTAATCTTTGATACAAATCTTCTCTTGGTATACCAAATAATTTAAAATTAATCTTTGATACTTATCTTCTCTTGGTACAGACTAGGGATGTTAAAGATGCAAATGCTTATCAGATAGTCTTTTGACTCATCGATATTCCCCTCCCCCCTTGCTGCCTCTATAAGGGTATGTCTACACTACAGCATTAATTCGAAATAGTTAATTCGAATTAACAGGGCTTGACTAATACTACAATCTACTTGCTCATGACGACTAAAATGGGCTAACAGGGCTTGACTAATACTACAATCAAGTGGCGAGTAGATCGTAACCTGGAAGAGCCAGGTTTGGGCGATCTGCGCATGCGCAGATTGCCAGACAGCGAGCCCTGTGAATTAAGCTAATTCAAAATAACACATCTATACACAAAACCTATTTCAAAATAGTGTGTTCACACTGAGTGGACCCTGAGAACCAGTGCCGGCAGAGCATCAGGTTAGGACTTAGCCTCAGGCAGCAGCCCCACACACTAACTGAGCTTCGTGCTTAAAGGGACCCTACCCCTGCCCCAGACAGACAATTCTCAGGGTTCCCCGCTTGCTTGTGTACCTTGATGAGGGACAGCAAAGCAGTCCTGCCTTGGAGTGCCCTCACTCGGGACACCCTAGCACTAGGCCACATGGAGCCAGAGCTGCCCCTGGGCATGCCGGTGCATCTCATGGGGTCATTGGCCCTCAGCCGAGCTGTACTTGCTGCAGGCTATCATCCGGGGGGGGGGGGGTGTCCATCAGGGGGCTGTCAGGATCCAGGAGGCCTTGCGGGAGAGCATCCACCCTGAGGAGCCCTCAGAGCCAACCCGATCCTCCCCACTGGGAGCTCGTGCCCCATTCCTCTCACGTCCCTCCACTTACCCGCCCCCAGCCCCCCCTTCCTGATGTCAAACAAAAGACACATGTTCAAAGATAGAAACTGGGTTTATTGAACTGGGGGGGAGGGAAGAGGGATGAACCTCTGGAGAGACTGGAAAAAGGAGGTGGGAGAAGGGAGGGGGAACCTGGGAGGAGGGAGCTGGAAGGGGGAAGCAAGGGGAAGCTCAGGGCCCAGGGGCTCGCCAGACCAATTCGATTTTCATGCAAATCTGCTCCTGGGTTTGCATGTGGCCTTTGGTGCCCAGGCTGGCAGCTATCCTGCCATAGACGGCCGCCTTCCTCCATCTAGTGCGGAGATCATGGACGTTGGGGGCATCCCCCCCAAACCTGAATAAGGTCCATGATCTCCACCCTGGACCAGGAAGTCGCCCGCCTTCTCCAGCCCGTTACCAGTGGCTTGCTGGCTCTTGTTTTGGGGCCACTGGGTCAGGGGCCCCGCTGGCCGCTGCTGGCTCTGGGCTGGCAGGCTTGGAGCTGGCACAGGCACTGTGACCAGGGTCTACCTCTTTAATGGCTCCAGGGCTGGGGGAGAGGACAGCAAGTTTTCCTGGTTGTGCTGAGAGTGGCCCCCAGGGCTCCCTGGGAAGGGCTGGAGGCCCCCTATTTCGAATTAAGTGTCTACATAGCACTTAATTAGAAGTAGCTATTCCGAATTTGGCATTACTCCTTGTAGAATGAGGTTTACCAAATTTGAATTAAGCGCTCCACTATTTCCAATTAATTTTGAAATAGCAGTTTGCATGAACAGATGCTATTAAAGTCAATTTGAAATAATGGCTATGTTAGACATACCCTAAAAGAGGCAGCAAAAGGGAGAGGAGAGGGGTATTTCAAAGTAGCAGCACCTCACAGCCTTTGAAACTGAAACCCCAAGGTGGCAAAGGGGCAGCTGCTGCACAGCTCATCTGTGGAAACTGCTGCCTCTGCAACTTTCAAAGGGGCAGTGGAGCCCAGGGTCACCTAAGGACTCCCCAGCTGATACTGGGCTCCCCGCAGCACTTCCCTGGAACATGCAGAGTAGCATGGAGCCTGGGGTCAGCACGGGACTGAGTCCCTGACTGACCCCGGGCTCCCGGGCTCCATGGCCTTGAAATGTACAAGTGCCCCTGCTGGGGACTCTTGTGCATTTCAAATCAGGCACACTGCCTACAGCCCCAAGTCAACAGGACTTCCTGCTGGCCCTGGGCTGTACACGGAGTTCTGCATTCCTCCTTTGAAGTGTACAAGATCCCCAGCAGGGGAAGTGCCTATTGACTAGTCAATGGAAATCCCATCAACTAGCCAATTAACTGCATTTTAACATCCTTAGTACAGACAGGTACCTCTTCCCTGCAATTTCTTACTTGTGTTTATTGCCTGTTGGTTACTGTAGCCTTATCCAGTATTGGGAGCCCATTCCCAGACAATACAGTTCTGTATACCAGTCTTGTCTAAACTGTGTCCCAAGATGCTGGAGAATTTGAATGATTGCTCTAGTTTCCTACCCAGTAGGTTGAAGAAGGCATCTTGTTCTTCCTGATGTAGATGGAATGGAGGTCGCTGCATACTTTTCAGCACTGCTGTGGAATGCTCTCTCTCAGGGATTCGCATCCTGCTACGCGCTCCAATGCCCTTTGTGCTGTTATGATGTGGTCTCATGTTCCCTGGCTTCACCCCAGCGGTGACCACAAGAGGGACATGGGAAATACTCTGAGTATGCCTCATTTTTTTTTTTTTTTACTATTAGTGGAGGCTCAGGGGCTTTTCTACAGTAGAAAGGGATTAAGTACAATTAACAGACTTGGTAATGCAATAGGAAGCTCTTTCTGTAAAGGTTATCAGTTCCAAGTCAAGCCTGGAACAGTAGCAATCAAAATCTGTTACCACCTGATGGCTGTTTGGTGACTTGTTTGGTGGATAATTATTGGTTTTGTGAAATAGATAACTGGACTTAGACCCATCACAATAAAATTCAATAGCCACCTTTCTAGTAACTCAAAGATTCTAGACTGACCCTGCCACACACTGAATGTCTCTTTTCTACAAAGGGAAGCTTAAAGCATCCAGTTAGAGCAAAGTGGGACTGCTTGCCCATGTTGCACCTGTTCTAGAGATACAGCAATAACTTATGTTTCCACAACTGTCAAGCTGTCTCATGTACCAGCGCTAGAAAAAAAGCCACATTAAGAACTGGCCAATTCTGTTTCACTGTCCAAATCAGGTTGAAAAAACCCAAAGGCCTATGTTTTCACAAGATCTTAATGATTGTGGGTACTCAAGACACCTTAAAGGGACTTGAATTTTAGAAAGCACGAACACCTACCTCTGAAAAAAAATCAGATCCCTTTAAGGTATTAGAAGTTCAAACATCCGTAATCATTAGGATTGTGTAAAAATTGAGACCTTAGTTTAAAAGAGTCAATTTTCCCCCCTTTACATTCATTTATCTTGATACAGTAAGTTGTAAGAAAATTGGAGAGAAAAATCCCTCCACAATGATACATAAAGACGAGCCAAGAAAATAATGGTCCCTCTGGTGGCCTTCGGAATTACTGCTCATTATATAGCCAACAACAAGGCTGCATCAATTTGCATTCTGATTGTTAATTCAGAACCCTTGCCTTTGCCCACACTATTGTAGTGTGAAATTTCTGACCCATGAGATATGGCTCTAACTGGTATAAATCTAAATAAAAAGCTTGACTTTTTTAAAGCTCCTGTTACTATGTTTTATGTTAAATTACTCCTACAATACTCTGGTAAATCTAAACAGTGTTTTTTAAAAGTAAGATCTTTAGCCATTCAACTAAGCATGTGAGATGGCTATCTGTTCAATTTAAAAAAAATAAAGTCAGCAGAGAAGTTAAAATGGAACTGTCATTAGTCATTCTAGAAGCCTATTAATCACCAGTGCCTTAAAGCCTTCCAAAATACCCATTTAGACCTCTGAATTCTCATTTAAAGATTCCTGCACACTGCACTCTTTCACTTGTTTTGGGGGTGGATGAGGATTAAGCGTATGAAAGATATGGTCACGTATATAGATTTTAGACTAAGATCTGAACTCCTCTTCTCATCCATTTACAAAACTATGGTCCCACCAACTTTAAAAAAAAATACTTCGAAACCATTTTCTAACTCAGTATACACTGATCAGAAAGTGATTAGGATACAGGTGTCAGGATTCCTGTAGACAGGAAGAATAAAGACACGTTCACAAAGGAGATAGGGTTTTCAGTTTCCTTTTAAAGTGCTTGCCTTTGGTCCCACACTTCTGTCTACCTATGAATACTTTTAGCTTGAATACCCACCTTTAAGCATAACAAAACTACATTTTGGGATAGGAACTGAAAGGTCAGCACCACAAGTCATCTCATGTTTAATTTCCACTTGTTTTCGGTCCCCAACAGAAAACATTTATGAAGTCCTCCACATCTTTGTGGAGTTTGTTTTTCCAACTTTTCCCTCCCAACTTTAATTGTTTTCCTTGAACACCTTCCTCTTATCCTCACTTCCCCAAAAATGAGTCTTTTAATCAAGAAAAGAGCAACTTAAATTTAGTGGTGTCTTCCCAGCAGTACATAAAATTGAAGCTGAAAACAAGATTCAAATTTTGGTTTTAAACAACTTGTTCCTATACCTACATAAACCTGAGGGATTTTTTGGCCCTCCATTTGACAAAATATTTTAATATAATCACACCAAAAAATTAAGTAGGCATTTTTTTTACCTCAAAGTCCACTCTTCACAAGAGGCAATGGAAAACATTTATAGATATAGAAAATAAACAGCAAGACTAATCATCTCTCTGAAGAACAGACCTTCCTTGGCTGCTGACAACATATTGTAGGTAATACCCTTTGGCTGCGTCTACACTGCAGGCTTCTTGCGTAAGAACGGCTGTTCTTGCACAAAAACTTGCGGCACGTCTACACTACACGCATGTTCTTGGGCAAGTAAATGTACAGTAAGGCATCGGAACAGAGGGCTTCTTGAGCAAGAGTTATTCCTCTCCCCACAAGGAGTAAGCCCTCTTGTGCAAGAAGGCAGTGTGGATGGACAACAGGGGTTTCTTCTGCCAGAGAGTCCCCACTGCCATGGACGCTCGTGCAAAAGCACATGGCACTGTGGGTGCATTCTTTGGACGCTCGTGCAAAAGCACATGGCACTGTGGATGCATTCTTGCACAAGACCTTTTGCACAAGAACTCTTGTGCAAAACAGTTCTTGCACAAGAAGCCTGCAGTGTAGATGTAGCCTTGAAGAATTAATTTTAATTAATGAATTACCACAAGTCTAGATACCCAATGCTGTGTTAAGAAGGATCATTTCTCTGTCTCTCTCTTTGGGGGCATGGGACAGAAGACAAGCAATTTGCCTCATACATATATATTGAATTCCCATTCAAAAATGTTTCCTTTCCTAAACTGGGTAGTTTTCTTCCCCTCACCTATCAACACCTTACTTTGCATCTCTAAAAACCATTTTCCTAAACTTTACTGTAAAAATAATCCTAAAAACAACACTTGATTTTAAAGTTCCAGAATCACTTTCAGGGCACACACTACTAAAACAGTTTAATAGTCTAATCCATTTTTAATCTCAATTATACAAATCTCTAAATACAAATTGAAAATCCAAATAATTTCTAAGTGACCAAAATGTCTCCATGCAAGATATCACTTAGTAGTTCTACTACAAAGTCAGATCCCACAACTGTAAAACAATCCAACAGTACATGTTGCTATCATATACTGTAGCCCTTTGAGTACATGCATTATCCAGATTTTACCATTGAGTAAAAACTGGGGCACAGATGTGAAGCAACTTGTCTCCATGTCTCAGAGCAAGGGATGGAACTTTCACACTCAGATTCCTAGTTCTCCGCTCTAACCACTAATCAACACCATTACAGAGGAGTAACAAAATGGAAGACCTCTGTTTTATGGGCATGCTATCTAATCGTAGCCTACCAGGCCATTTTAAGTATCACTTTAGACATAACCCCTCACCCCATTTAATTTTTCAATATCTCAGACAAAGCAAAATGATCCATTTTCATTTGTTAAACTACTGACTGTAGGTTACAATTACCAGTTGCAGCAAACAGGATATCCAGTTTGGAGTGAATCAGGGCCAATACCATAGGACAAATGGCAGTTTTGATCCAACAACTAGGCTTCCTGGGATGTAAGTTAGTTTTAGACTTTGCATGGAAACAAGATGCCAAATTTTGGCCACATAACTCAGCCCATCAGATATTAATTCAATTGTCAGATATCAGAAAAGAAAGATTTTCACCTCAGAGACCACATCAGGGGGGAGGGGCACGCTTCCTGTATTATTTTTAAGAGCTAAAGTCAAATAAAACCCAACCGCTTTGGGTTTCGCACATCAAATAAAGATTTAGGCTCAGGGACCCTTTTGGAGAGCCTAAGCCACCATGTTAAATGGGGGCAAATTAAGTCACCAAAAAGACAGCACTTCAGGCAAGTTTTATAGAGTTCATAAGAAAAGGAGGCAGAAAGTTTGCACAAACTAAACCAGCCACATGTCACCCTCCAATTTGACCCACTTTCGCCTCAGCCTACATGAGGGCTATAAGAAGAGTATTTGGGGACAGAATCTTGGTACATTAGTTCCATCTCAAGGAGAGGAAAACTTCCAATTCCTCCCCCCCCCAAACACACACCCAGGTACATTGTTACCCCTTCAGCACGTGCAGTAGGATACCACAAGGGCACAATTTATACCCCACACATTACAACAGGGTCATAAGGGTGGGAGGCAGGACATTCCTGGGTCACTACTGACCCCCCCCATTAGTACACTCTGACCACGTGGGATGACCACACACCTCAGTGCTTCACTCATCCTCCTGGGAAATGCAAGGCACTATTTGAGGGGGAAAAACAGGATCCCCATTTCCAGTCAAAGGTACCTCCATTTTATGGCAGCTTTAATGATGATTAATAGCGATTACCCGCCTCCCATTACCCAGAGGGGGCCACGAGGCGAGTGTGGGGAGGAAGAAGGGTCGGCAGACGCTGCTCCTCCCGTTGTGGCCCCTCCCTACTAACTGATTTTCCCGCCTTTCCCCCGCCACCCCACATCCCCCGCCCTCACCTGAGCAGAGCAACCAAACAGCGCGCACGCGCGCAGCAATCGTGAAGGGGTGGTACCGAACTTACCCCGCCTCTTTGCCCCCTGTTGGCTTCTATAGGCTCAGCCCTGGCAGCTTCTAGCCAATCGGCGATGGGTAGACCGGCCTCTCGCAAGCACCTATCAATCAAAGAGCCAGGCGTCAGGGGCGGAGGGATTAGTCTCGATAACCCCGTGCGGCTGGAGCTCGCCCACCCTTCCCTTAGGTTCAAACAGTGCGGAAAGGCGGCTCCGGTTCACATGACTCCGGGCTCCAGGGGGATCGATTTGAGGCCCATAACTCTCATTATGTGCTTATTATAGGGTCGCTTGCAATCATAATTGCCTATAAGGAACCTGCACGTTTATCAAGTCAAGTTGTCCGCATCCCAGGCTTAGAACAGCTGGAGCCGGAACTCCTGGGTTTCACTAGGTTCTGATGAGGTGTGTGGGAGCTATTCAGGCCCCCTGCCAGTAAGACGGAAGGGGTATTTATGAAGGGGTCACCTGTCAATATAACTTTTATAGGGAGCTTGTGTGTCAGGACATGGTAGAAGCAGCCCAAGTTTAGCACAACTGAGAGTCAGCGCTGCTAGGTTACATTTCCAACTCACCATGTGACCCTAGCCTGTGGCAAATCACAAAGCAGCTTCTACCTCTCGTCCTTCGCCCAAATGTTTATTTTTTCAGTGGTTTTCAAAGTCGCATCAGAGCTCAGGAAGCACAATACATCAAAAGTAGTGTAGTGACTACATAGATTATTAGATTTAGCTGTGTGAGCAACAAAGAAACTCCCCGCGTGGCATGCACAGCTACCTAGATGGTACTCTAATACATGCACAAATGCCAGCTGGTCAAAAAACCCAAACTGCCATGTAGTTTAACAGAAAAACCTACCATTCACTTTAATACATACACATACTTACCTGTCATTCATTTTAAAGCACATCCTTCTGGCTTCCTGTCATAAATACACACACCTACCCAGTCAGATTAACACATACACTCACCATTCAGGTTAACACTCGCAGAGAAACACCTGATGCCCAGTTTTACACATATCTACAATGCAGTTTTACTTAGCACTTAAAATTCAGATTATATTGGCCATGATCAGTGTTCCCTCTATTTGTTCCCATCCATAGGTGGAATACATTTTGTTGTGTGCACCAAGGCATGTGCAGATATGCACCACCAATAGAAACACATGCTGTTGGATGTGGGTGCTTTGCTAATTAATTTAAATTATATTTCTTTAAATATTTTTACCCTGACACTCTATTTAAAATATTCAAGGCGGCTTACAAAAATGTTAAACACAATATAAATATATATAAAAATTTAAAATACGAGACCACAGAGGGACATAAAACCTGCTAAAAACATATCAAGAAGAGGAACATAATTGGCTGGGCAGCATTTGAATCTCTTCTGGGCAGCAGCCCAAGCACTCACCTTACAGGGAACACTGTCCCAAACTCCTGGGGAGATCAGCTGGTGTAACAGAGACCATGAACTGACCTCCATGGGCAAACATCAGTACCTCATCTGAATCCAATAATAAATCCAATACATTTCAGTCCTACATAGGCATGACATGGTCTTGTTCCTGAGCAGGATCATTTACTCTGTGTCATTCAGATGGAAAGGAATCCCATTTGATTTTCATTTTGTCTAAGCTCTCACAGAGCCAGGTTGTTCTCTGTAGCCCGAACGTTGAGTGCCCAACAATCAGCTTTACCCTATGAATCCAATTTTCAAAAGCAAGTAAGTGACTCAGTGAGGAGTCCTGTGGCACCTTAAAGACTAACAGATTTATTTGGGTATCAGTTTTCATGGGCAAAGACCCACTTTCTCAGATGCATTGGATGCCCATGAAAGCTTTGGTCTTTGCCCACAAAAACTGATGCAGTGTTTGCTCCTCAGCTCTTGCTTCCCTAGACCCTGCTCCTCTTGCCCAGCCCCGGCTTCTGGCCAAATGTCCATGCCCAGGGTAGTGCCTGTTTCACCCCCCTCCCTGCAGGGTTTCACACACACTCCTCTGCTAGCAAATGGAAGCTGTCTTTGGGTCTGGAGCTGCAATTGTACATCCCAACCACTGCTCTGCACCATGTTCACCATGGGCAGGCAGATTAATAGCCTCCCCCTCTGTTCCAAGGCAGGATGGCCTCTCTCGCCGGCTGCCATCTGGGGAGAGGGAGTAATTGGGGGGCTGCAGGAGAGCTTCCACCCCCAGAAGCCCGCAGAGCCAGCCCAGTCCTCCCCATCGGGGGCTCGTACCCCATTCCTCCCTCACCTCCTTCCACTTGCCCTTCCCTAGCCCCCCTTCTTCTTGATGTACAAAATAAAGATAACGTTTCTTCCAACATTGACTCTGTCTTTATTGAACAAAACTGGGGGAGACTGGGAAAAGGAGGTGGGAGAGGGGAAGAGAAAGGCTGGGAGAGGGGAGGGCAACTAACATGATCAGGGGTTGGGAACAGGTCCCAGATGAAGAAAGGCTACAGAGACTGGGACTGTTCAGCTTAGAAAAGAGGAGACGGAGGGGGGACAGGATAGAGGTCTCTAAAAGCAGGGGTTGGGTGGAGAGGGTGCATTCAGAAAAGTTCTTCCTGAGTTCCCATAAAGAAGGACTAGAGGACACCAAAGGAAAGGACTGGGTAGCAGGCTTGAAACTAGTAAGAGAAAGTTGTTGTTCTTCCCAAAGCAAATAGTTAACCTGTGGAACTCCTTGCTGCAGGAGGCTGTGAAGGCTACAACTAGAACAGAGTTTAAAGGGAA